GATGGTGGGAGACTTACTACTGGGGCAGGGTCTACTTATCCTCAGTTATGCAAATCTGCACCAAAAATGCTCTTGCTTCTGATTTTGTGGAAAATACATGTGTAAGTAAGGTACCCCTTATTTCTGAAAAAGACATAGGCAATAATCATAGTCTAGCAGAAAAATGATATCACGTGGTGGCCTAAGAGTTTTTTCAAAAGGGTTCAAAGGTCTTTAAAAGCATAAATAAGGTGGCATTCATTTAGCATTTTTTTAAAATTTTGTACAAACAAGTGTTGATATGATACTGGTTATTAAACAATTGTTAGTGAGCTATTTGACCTCGAATTCACCTTTCTTTACTTTCTTCTGTGATGCTGTAAGTCAGACTCTGTAAACTGCATATCCTATGCCAGCTGGTGTCTCACTAGGTTCCACCAATAAATGACATTAGAGAGATACTAAAAGATAGGAGAAAGGGGAAAAACAACTTCCTTTCCTCCTTTAGGTTTATTTACAATTTTTGTCATTGCTACTCCAGCAATAGGTAACAGTGATTTGCCCCAGCAGCAGCAATTGATTTTTAGCTTGGATGTCTTTTGGCACTTTTCTAACCCTCAACTAGCCTCATCAGAAGTGGTAGGACCACCCAGACAGCATTCTCTCAGGAATCTGAGTTACAGTTCAGCTGGGTCATTTCTCTGAGTTTCTGATTGTTCACACTCTCTTCCTTTTTTTACAAGCCTCAGGAATGGTAGCCTCTGTGTTTATCATCTCTGGGGTACTTCAGTGATCTACTTTTGCTATTTAGCCGGTCAACAACCAACACAATATTTTGGTGGTTGGAGTATCTTGTGATTCCTGTTTTCTTGACAAATATGCCTCTAAGCCTTTGCTGAAAGAGCCCACAGTCATTTGTAGGGCCCTATGCTTTTGGGAAATTTTAACATTCCTATTTTTTCAGGAATTACTAGACATTGTCTCTTAATAGAAATTATCTAAGTCAAAGCACAGAAAGAAAAAGATTTAAGAAAAAAAGAAGACAAACAAAACCTGGGAAGATCAGTGCTAAGGACTAAGATGTCTAATGTAAGTGTAATAATGGTCTCAGAAGAGAGGAGAGAGAATGGGGCAGAAAAAAATATTTGAAATAGTGACCAAAAATTTTCAAGTCTAACAAAAGAAAACAAACAAACAAACAAAAATCCACAGATCTAGGGAACTAAGTGAATACTAACTACAGTAAGTACAAAGAAAACTGTATCTCGGAACAAACTGCTGATAAAGACAGTGAAGCAAAACCTTAAAAGCAGTCAGAGAAAAAGACATGACATACAGAAAAACAATGCAAATTTCTCATCAAAAATAATGGAAAGCAGAAAAAAACAAAGTAACATTTAAGAGCACTTCAAGAAAGCCCTTAGATGACTACTCTTACTTCAAGGATAAAACCTAAGTTTTTAACTTACATAACCTGGATATTACTTATATATCTATTCATCTTCTGCACTGGTAATATTCTAGTGTTGCAATACCTTTTGTTTTTAAGCCAGCACCTCTATGTGAAAAGCCTTTCTATTCTTTTTCTACTTGAACTGCCTGACTAGCTTGACCACACAGCTCTCCTCCTCCTATGGCTTAACATCCCCCTGTACATTTCTATTGCTGTATTTACTATGTTGTGTTTAAATTTCATTTTTGATACTGGTTTGATTTCTCCTAAGACTGATCATTAGACTTCTAGTGCCTACTGTAGTGCCTACTAAAAGCAGATTCTTAAGAACTTTTTATGTATAGATTAGTTCCTACAAAAACTTACCAATACTCAATCCAGAAATTTAATTACCAGGGCTCAGTTATTTCTATATCTCACAATTAAGCTTATGATTTGTTTCTTCTTGTTAAATAATAGGTAGGACCATTACCTTTTAGTCCTAAACACTCCTGTCTGACAGTGATGTTAAACTAAATCATCTCTCCAATCATTTCTAAATATACGCTAAAAAGAGTTTCCTGGGATAAGCCTTTAGGATGTTAAACTAAATCATCTCTCTAATCATTTCTAAATATACGCTAAAAAGAGTTTCCTGGGATAAGCCTTTAGGCATGAAGGTTCATTTCCGGGTCTTAAATCTTTTCCTTTGGAATTAATGAAGTGAGCATATTTTTATTCTAGATATAATAGTTACCCCTATATGATCTACAGATCATATCTTTTTACCTAAATTTTGTTGTCATCTGATTCTGATCAGTCGTTGGTCCACTCAGCACTAATTGGCAGGAGCAATTCTGATGTTCAGTTTGAGTTCTGCTTAAAAAGAAGAAGAAGTAGCCATTGCATGTTTGTAATCTAGGGAAACATTTTATGAAAGGAAACTGGGACACTCCCATCCCACAGCAGAGTGGACTGCATTCATGTACACTTTTATAATTTTATACATGACTTTCTACTTATTTACTCTATGCTTTTCTTTCTCATTGTTGTTTTATTATTTTTCCTTTTTAATATACTTTGAGTTTTTATTTTTTTTGAGTTTTTGGTAAAAAACATAACAAGATGGAACACTGAAGGGAAACTGTCTCGGAAACATGCAAACCCTTTTATGAAAAACAAACTCATGCTCTTCCTAACTTCTACATTTAAATAGACGATACACAGTCAAAAGATCTGAATCAAAATCTTCTGAAGGATCTGTTCATAAGGGTCATTAGCCCATTCAAAATACATATTCACGTATAAAATAAAATATAAACTTATAATTTCAGCACATTATTTCTGGGTTTATTTTCTCCACTCATGGTAGTGGCATAGTCTACCTGATGGCAAATACTATTTACCTGTGGTATTTCTTCTCACACTCTCTGTCCCCATCACATGTCAAATAACTAAAATTAAACCATATTTTTCAAACAGTTTACTGTATGATTTTGAATAGTTTTAACCTCTAGAAAATAGTATCTCTAATAGATTAAAAAAATAGATCAACAAACGGGGGTGGGGTGGGGAGGGAAATGCACGGGATTATGGTGATGGCCTACGGGTGACTTGGTGTGGGAAACCCACGGGGATTACAATTGAGATGGAAAAAAAAATGTACAAAATGATGTAAAAATAAACTTTTGTAAAATAAAAAAAAATAATAGATCAACAAATAAAACTATTGTGTTAGATTGGGCGGCCATAACAAAATACCACCATGGGTAGTTTAAACAACAGAACTTTACTTTTTCACAATCTGGAGGCAGTCCCGCATCAGGGTGGCAGCATACTGTTTTTGGTGAGATCCCTGGCTTGCATCAGGTCACCTTCTTATTGGTTCGTTTCATGGTAGAGAAAGCCAGCTCTTTGGTGTCTCTTATGAGAACACCAATCCTATAAGACTAGGGCCCTACTTTTATCGCCTGAGTCAAACTTAATTACTTTCTGTAGGCCCTATCTCCAAATATAGTCACAGTGAGGATGAGGGCTTCAATTTATGCTTATTTTTAGGAGGGGGGGGTGTTGGTGGGGAGGAATATAATTCAGTCCACAGTAGCATAGTAAGATACAAAATTACATAGGCCCTTAGAGTAAATTCAAAATTCACTAGCATTATTCACTTTTTTTTTTTAAGATTTATTTATCTATACAAGAATTGGGGTACAGGCTAGAAGTGGGAGGGTGGTGGGGGGTGAGAGGATTCATCATAGACAGAGTGGGGAGCAGATCAGGCAGATTGATCAAAATACACTGCTGAGGGGAGCAGTAGGCAAGACAGGAGAGGTCTGCATCGCCATGTGGGTCCCCTCCCTGGCCTGGGATCTAACTAGTGCTGCAGTGGCTGCTGACAGTTTCATAGTGCTGCTTTAACCCCCAGCGCCACCAGGGAGGTCCCCATTATTCATTCACTTTGGATGCTAGCAATGAAATTGAGGCCAGGAAGAGGTCATGGCTTATTTGTTCTTAACCCTGTGTTCCTACCTATATATGGCAAATAAACCACCTTATAGCACTGAAATGAATACTTTCTAAGTTAAATGCAGAAAAATGTGGATTTCTAGTTAGGACTAGACTTAATGAAAAGGAAGACATGCTAATGCCTATTATGTGCTGGGCATAGGGGAAAAACAATATTTATATGGTTCCTGACTTAATGAAGTTTACATTCTAGGTAGAGATAGGAGCAAACTATTTCAACAGCTTGGTAGGGAAAATACCTGTGTTTCCATGAAAGGCACTTAACTACCCCAGGAGGAAATGCCAAAGTATACTGTAGTAAATGCCACAAAGATTAGGAAGGGATAAAGCTGGTTATGGGGCACTGTGGCACTGGTGTGGGGTAAACCAATTTATGATTACAAGATGGGAGGTGCGACTGGAGTGTTAAGATTGTCAGAACTGGCACCAAAAGTCACTGTTCTCACAGCATGGCTACCCCAGCCAAGACTGCAAGCTATCCATGCACCACGGCAGTTCAAAGAGCCTCAGACTGAATCCAAAACAGACTTAAGGCCCAAATGAGGCATATGTCTTACATTTTTCTGTCAGGTCCCCATTTTCAGGTCTTTCAGTTTTTCCTTTTCAATCCCCGCCCCTGAGAATCTTCTGTTGACTTTTCAGGTGCAGAAACCAGGATGACTCTCTTTGAACAGCTGGGGCTGAACAGGGACACAATCATTTTTGCTATGCTGAGGGGAGAAGGCCCAAAGTAACCTGCTAGTGTAATTCGGCAAGCAAAAATGGTTAAGAGTCAGCGAGGCCTAGCGCTTCTCACCTCTTCGGCTCCCTCTCTCCGTGGCGCGCAGCCTCAGCTCACTCCAAGGCCTCTGAGGGCTTGATTGACAGTTGGGCCTGCCCAATCCCAGCGCGGCGCAGGAGGCTCTCTCGTCAGGGAGGGGAGGGAAGGCGGAGACAGAGCCTATCAGATTGGAACGGGAGGGGGTTTCCTGCCCCCGCGAATCCGCCCGAGGCCTAGCGGCCAGTGAGCCCTGCAGCCCCGCCTGCCTGCCTCGCACGCCCCGCCCCTCTCCCCAGAGCTACGCGGCGGCAGAGCTGAGGCCTCGTGCCTAACGGCCATCGCTGCGGCCGCGGCGGCGTCCCGGTCCCTCCTCAGGTGAGCTGGAGCGGTGTGAGCTCCGCAAAAAGAAAGTAGACAGCCGTCTTGCTGACAGACGGACAGATAGCCTTTCCTTTCCCCGTGCGTCCTTGCAGCCTGTTACTCGCGGCGTCGCTTCCTCTTCCCTGGCAAAGTTAGCCCTGGAGGCGCCGTCTACCGGCCCGGAGCTGAGCTGGAGGGGGCGGGGAGGCTGCTGGGCCGGGCTTGGGCGTTTGCACAGCGGCTCGGCGCGACTCTCCAGCGCTGTCCTGGGCGGTGTTGCGGGGCTGCTTCCGTGTCTGTACCGGAGGGTCGCGTCGGATGAGCGCCGGGACCTATCGCCCCTGTGAGGCTGAGAGGTCTCGAGCCCTGTTTCTTCCCCTCCTGAAATACCCTGTTGCCCGTTGTGGCGTCATTCAAGGCCGGGAAGGTAGGCGTGAGATGGAGGGAAGGGGCGCTCTCACCTTCAGGGGGAGAGGAGGGTAGGGAGCCTAAACCCCAGTAGAGCGGGGATGCGCGTCCTCAGGTTGCGCCCTCCCCCCCCCCTCCAGGAGGTCGCTTTTTTCCTGGGAAATCTGTATTGTTTTAATCGAATGGACCTCCTGTAGAGTCATACGCTTTAGTTGCTTAGGCTGTGAGCTTTTGGTGTGAGTTGTAATATATCCATTAACGTGATCTAGATGGGTTGGTTTTGTGATCTTACGTGTTTCCATAAAAGTTAAATTTGCCGTTAAAAGCTGGGTTTTATTCAAGACCAAGAACCGTAAGAATATAGGAGCCCAGTGAATGCCGAACCAATGAGTGAAAATAATTGTTAGATTTGATAAGAAACCCTAGGAGTTAGGAAAGAGCAAGTTTTCTAACCCCATCGAAGGTGGGGAGCAAAGAGTCCGGTTAGATGTTGTAAGAGGTATCCAGTATTAAAAATGTTACTTTGGCAGGTTTATGAAAAACCAACCGTACAATTTATTAAGCTCCTGGAAAGCACTGTACCTAAAATCTCAAGTCTTCAGCCAGGTCACTGAGTAAACGGGGAAATAGTATTAAAAAGAAGGTTCTGTTTGCTTGTGTGGTAGTTGTCACTTAGGTTCAGTTCGTAAAAAAGCATCCCATTCACAATTTGAAAGTAACTTAAGAAGTGTGCATTGATTATTAGTCATTTCAATTTTATTTTTCGAAAAACTGGCATTTTCTTTGGGAAAATAGTGATCTTTAGGAATTCTCTGTATCTCTTAAACACAGTTTGCAAAGTGTTCAAGTTTCCTCAACTCCTTGTTTAAGTATTGAATTTTAAATTGTCTGCTTTTTTTTCTTGAGGGTTATGTTTTCTCCATGTTTTACCAGTGCTTTTCGCTTCTTGTAAATAATACTTGAAGCAGACATAGAATATTTTCTTGATTATTGAGTGATACTTTATGTTGCTATTTTTACTTTCCATAGATATTTGAGAACTTAACTTGCCAAGCTTAAGGCAGATTTGATGTGGTCATTACTAGTACTGGAAGACTTGATTTAAAAATTATGGATGCAGTCTAGCTTTTGGCCATGGTTAATTAAATTTTAGAATTTACTAACCTAATATATGGAAAAAATACCAAAACTTCTCTTACATACACCAGAAGACAAAATGACTTGATAGGTAAAATTGGTAGAAATTCTTTTAATCACTGAATATTTAACAAATTCTTGGAGAAATACATTTCCCTGCTGTCTTAGGAAAACAACTTACAGGGCCAAAAGAGACCATTAAAGGTTATTTAATTAAGGTAACGATTCTATCAAGATGATCCTCATTTAAACGATTTCAAAGATAAAAGGGATATACAGTCTTACTGTCAAATCTGATTCCATGTACTTTGTGGTATTTCCATGCTTTCAATTACCTAGATTTTAATTTTAATTTTGACTTCCTCTATCCATATAACTTCAGTTTGATCAGTTTTTATCCACCATTTTTTGATATTTCAGGTATCTACCTTTCCACTAGCTTTTTTTTTTTTTTAAAGATTGATTTATTTATGCATACAGAACTTGGGTACTGGCCAGAAGTGTGGGGCAAGGGATTGTGAGAAGAATCACCAGAGGCAGAGTGGGGAGCAGAACAGGGAGATTGACAAAGTACACTGCTGAGGGGAGCAGTGGGCAAGACAGGACAGGAGAGGTCTGCTGCGCTATGTGGGTCTGCTGTGCCATGTGGGTCATCTGTGGGGCTGGGGATTGAATTTGCACTGAAATGGCTGTGGCTGGCTTGCAGTGCTGTGCTTTAACCTGCTGTGCCATCAGGGAGGGCCTCCACTAGCTTTAAAAGAAATGGTTTCTACCTGTCTTTTTCCCCTACTCAGTTTGTCTCACTTGTTGCTTTAATCTTAAAATAATGCTTTAAACACATCCCTTACTGTTAAACCAGTTGTCACTCCCTGTTATCCATAGACTATAGTACAGGATTCCTTTTCTAATAATATGCACAAACCTATTTTTTCCTAATGAATGCACTACCTCTCACAGGAGCTGTATAAACCAATCTCTTACTCATGTATTTTGAGCTGTAAATTTTATATTTTTTTACCTTTATATCTGATGAGACTTAGAATGCCTATGCATAGACTACTTATTCTTTAAACCCAATTTTAGTCCCTCAGTTACTCAGGTAACAGATGAGGTCAGATTTTGCTAAACTTTTTGTTCATTCAGTGTAGGTTTCCAGATCTTTCTCTTCTTGGGGTGTTGCTTTTCTTTGAATGTGTAGCGCTTATTTAAATCATTCCTTGGTTTTTAATCTTACATGGTCTCGTATCGTAATACTGGAACAATATGGGAACGATGGAATCCAGTGTTCTGTTTTATAGATAGGGAAAACAAAATCTATATAGAATTAACTGCAATAAATTTTACACCCCTAGTAATGGAGGTAGAGTGGACGCTCAAACCTTGAATATGGTAAGGTATGTGTATACATTAAATTTTTTTTCCCTATGTATTTATGAAACTATTCCACTTTTTATCTCTTGTAATGTCATTTTGTATTTTTTGCTCCACATACTTTGTATTTTGTGTATTTTTGCCTTCTTACATAGACTCAGAACTTTTGTATGGGGATAGTGGAACTTCATGACTTGTATTTAAACAGTGGTTTAAAGTCTATTGTCTTTTCCTTTGCTTGTTAAGATGTAGTAATAGTATTACCAAAAATAGTGTCATCTCTATAGTTGAACTCCATTAGAAAATGAGTGAATTTCTTATAAATTTTACTGCTGGAGCTTAGTTTACCTTTCTCTCTCTCTTTTTAAAAGATTTATATTATTTATGTATACAAGAGCTGGGGTATAGGCCAGAGGTGTCCCGTGGGACTTGTGGGGGGCGGGGGGGGGGGCTGGTGGTGAGAGGATTCACTGGAGACAGAGTGGGAGGCTGATCTCCTGAAATACATGGCTGAGGGAGCAGTGGGCAAGACAAGTAAGCTCTGCTGTGCCATATGGGTCAGCTCCCTGGCCTGGGATCTAACTTGTGCTGCAGTGGCTGCCTATAACTTTATAGTGCTGAGACTTACTTAACCCTTTGAGCCACCAGGGAGGCCCCTGCAGTTTAGTTTAGCTCTTGATAAAGAGACTGAATCTCTGGGGTCCTTGAAAGTAGATGTGAAGGAGATCACCCAAACCAAATTTAATTAAGTTTAATAATTGAGCTAAGAATATTTTCTTCTTTTGAGTATTAGAATTATAACACTTTTATTTTTACATTTTGCTACTTTCTGTCATTTTGTCCATCAAGAACTAGATTATTGAGCAATCTGCTCATTTAGCAAGACATTGTGAAAATCATTTGTTTTCATCTGGGGAATTGGAGAGCATTTATATACCTATTCACATTTTTCCTCCTCATAACTCTATAAACTTTGTGCTAATAGCAGCAACATACGGTTGCCTTGTTATTTTTTTCTAACAAGAACTGAATGGTGTTAAGAAGATAGCACACAAAATTATTAGGGAAATATCTCTGGAGGAAGTGTGATTTTTCTGTTATGAAGCTATTAGAAGCTATTTACCTTTCATTTGTAGGTTTATTATAATGACTTTTTACTTGCTTAAATAAGGTTATCTGCTAAAACAATGCGGTGAAACACAGATTATGTTGTCCCTTTTTCTGAAATTGTGTTTAAGGATACTGAATTGGACTTGTGTAGTATGAGTAATTTCTACTTTGTTCAAATAGAACAGTGAGAATATGAATTTGAGAATTTTTTAAAAAATGGGTGTGTCTAAAAAAGTTTTATATTTTTAAGACTGTGCCTTCCAAATATTTCATTACATAGTTCCAGATCATGTTTCATTTGGATCAACTGAGATAATAACTATAACAAAGAAATATTCCAGCTACATTACAGAGATCTTCTATTAATTAAGGCATTGGAAAATTTGCTTAAAAGTGCTTGATCACATCCTCATATTATATGTACTTGAGTGACAGTTTTTTTTTTTACTTTTAGAAACATTTAGAATACTTAGTATACAATCCTTTCCTCCCAGATTTCTATTGCTGCCCTGCAAATGAGTTGCTTTAATTTTTCATGTTTCTTTTCATTTCTTTTTGAAAGTTTCGCAGTCCTCTGCAGCCTTCCATGACTTGATGTTTGCTCATATCTAGCTGCATCTCTGACATTTTCTCTTTTCTTTAGGCTACTCTTTGGGTCTTGACTAACCAAGGTTTTTTTTTTTTTAAACCTTAGTGCTTGTGATCATACTTTTCCCTCTGGGCTGATGGCTTTCTTAGGTTAGTGTTCAGTTTGGCTGCTAGTAACAGAAGTAAGCCAAATAACAATTTTTTATACTAGAGAAAACTAGGTTTTGTGTAGTACATATTTATTAAATATTATTTCCAAGGTATTTTCTTGTTATAAGTAATTGTGAAATAAAGGTCTTCATTTGTAAGTCCTTAATTTTTTTTTTCTTTTTGACACTACTGATGGTAGAATTCTGATGAATATACAACTTACAAAAAATTCACCACTAATGAATACTTGG